TGTTGAATATCAATCATTGTCCATAGCCATAAATAGACCTTATCATTTAAAAAGTGTTATCACTATTAAATCCATCATTATCAATATTTACCTCTAGATCATTATTATTACTATGATGATCAGGAGATGATCTATTTGACGATTTATTCAATTCCTGTGCCAAGTATCCATTCAATTGACAAATAGATGATTGTGGACAATCTATAGAAAAGTAATGAATAAGGGAAAAAAATGAAACAATAATTAATAACTGAAAGTAACAGTTAGAGAGATGCATTAATTATTCATTTGATTCTGGTAATTCAATAATGTACAACAGTTGAAAAAGTACATTACCTAAACAACACAAAAATATATTAGTAAACAAATAAACAATTGTATTTAACTTATAAATGACTTTGCGTTAATGATATATAGACATATAACTCCACCCGTAGCTCTCCTATAGTTACTGCTGATCCCAAGCCCGGGTAAACGAGGAGGGTTAGGCATGGAGTCGGCAACCCCATCCCATAGGGAAAAAATCTTGCTGAAAAACGTCAGCCATATATATATATATATATATATATATATATATATATATATATATATATATATATATATAACATCCAGCTAATACTTATAACTAAACGTTAAATTTAGAACAATACCCATTGTGATAGATAAAAATCAATTAGATAATGGTTATGTTCTCATTTACAATCTCATTCACCGTAGTAGTAATAATAATGACCTTATTCAACAGTACATCTTTAGTGCATAGATTTCAGTGTATCTTTGAGTTTCGTTTTACTGAACGACATATAAAATGTGAACAAATGTGAACACGCCCGACGCAAAATATACTTCGTTAATAACAATAGCTCTCATATACACACTGCAATTCAAATCTGGATACCGAAACCAAAACGTAAGAAATCAGTTATGACATTAAAATCATCTCAACCCTGTTATTCAAAATGAGGCGGGGCTCGAACTTGGGAGCAACTGTCTGAAAGTCGAATCTTTCAAAAATGTAAGTCGCCTCTACACTTAAAGAGTTGCAATATACAGGTGAACGTTACGTATCAACGAAAAACTGAAGCCAAACTTTTCTTTCCCATATGTATACACTCCAATAACAATGTACAGCATGAAAAACACGTACTAGACCAAATCTAAATAGTAGTTTCGTAAATTAACAATATAAACTTATTTTTTTGTAAAAACGACAACATATATTCTTCATACTCATGAGTGAACTGATCAATCTTTATCAGTGTAAAGACTACTAAAATGTATGTTTTGATATTGTATACGTTTACATTTACAATAGGAACCTGTTAATTCAACCTTATTATGGTACCCGTTAAATAAGAGGTGGGTATTATGAATTATCAAATTAGTGTGTCCTATTTTGGCACTTATATATTGATGGGTAATAGGTTCCAGTTTCAGTTATTTTTAAATGAAAACAACGAACGTCTAAATGTACGACGCTAAATAGAATCAAGTCAAATAAATAATGGCCTACCATTCTCTCCACACTTCAATTCGTCCTTATTGAATTGACTATTGTCTGATGAAGAGGAAATTGTAGGCAGTTGTAATAATGATGGAAAGTGTTTAAGTTGAGGATCACATTTAACTACACGAGAAGACATGCCATCACCCTAAAAATAAAGAGAAAGAGTTACAGTAAAAACTAAATTTGGTATTGTAATGAGAACATAAATTTTCTAAAATATAGCATTCCGAGTCAGTGATGATGCACAGAAGATGTATTCAAAGAAATTCGTGGAAATCATGGATTCCATCTACGACTACGTTGTGAATGTGGACTGTTGAGTAATTTCATATCCTGGCACTCTGGTTTTCAATAATTCCCCAGTTTAAGTCAGTCAACGATGTATACAAATTAGGAAGTCAGTTAAAACCAATGCATAACCCGCCTCCAAATGCCCTGGTACGGCCGATAGTGGCATCAATTAATATGAGACTTAAAACTACATTGATAAGAAATTATCCTGTAGCTAAACTAATTGTCCTGTTCAAAACAACATGTTCTTTAACACAATCTAAATTCGATTGGTATCCTTTCATGTTATCACCAACTGTGTATACAAATTTACATGTATCTGCCAAAGCAGTTACAATGGTAGAGAACAGAAAGGAGAGCCTACGTCCAATTCAAATAACATATTCCCAAAAGTTTAAGATCAAATGGACTAAAAGCATTCAGCAGTACCATCGCAAGACATCTAATTGAGACAGGACATGAAGTCGATACGCTGAAGTCCTTCAATGTGATTAACAAACAATCAAACTCAAACCTTTTGAAATTTGTCGAAGCAATAGCAATCAAAAGTCTAAAACCAGATTTATGTATACAAAAAGAGACAGTAATAAATCTTTCTTTACCCTGGTAACAATACCCCCCTTTTTTATTCATTTATTTTTCTATTTATTTGTTGCGTCATTACTCCAACTCTTTTAAATTACATCATACATAACTGACTGATTTCAATTCATATTTTCTTTATTACCATTAATCTATTTTCATGAGTTCTAATCACTAATTCAATGTTCCGGAACTTTCCCTCTCAAACTCTATTTACTCGAGACAAAATTTTATGACCTCATTAACTCTATCGGAATCTTCGCTACACCATGATACATTTATTCATCCTTCATCACCCTCTGATGTATAAGTATGTCATTATCTATAATAACGTTGAATTTCAAATATTTTAGGTTGTAAGCAGCTGATGAGAACCTAACGAAATAAAATGAATTCATATTATTCTGCACCAATCTTTGTTCTTGTTCTCTTTAAGATAATAAAGGTATAAATTGAGTTAATAACTAGAAGAACCGAATCAGTATGAATACTTTCAAAGAATAATGTATCAAACAATGCTGAAAGATGGTTTACATAAAGAATTTACTTAAACAGACAAACCGTTGAAAAGCAGAAAGCACTGAACAGCTGTTTCTATCTTGTTATGGGACTACCATGTTCTCAGTGTTCAATCTTTCTCACTATCATTGCTACTATAGTTATTTTGAATTATTCCCTATTCATATTTCTGATTTTACCTGAATGTACTGTTCTATGGCAAACTGAAGCAACGTACAACTATTTTAGATCATATAACTATGGTTGACTGACTGTATGGAACTAATTAGCAGTTTGAAATCATGACCCAGTGTTATGTTTGAAAAGATTAGTTCACCTGATCTGCGAACGGAACGAAGACTCTGTGACACAATGACCGATAAGCTAGCTATTCGGATGCGTACCAGCCCCGCAAACTAGACAGAGAAATCTAAGTTCGGAAGAGGGAAATATGTTCCACAAGCAGCCAGAAGCACGAACAATAACGGGCACAAATCAAACGTATATGTACAGCATAAAACTGTCCTTGAGAAGCGTTAAAAAATAGCATACTAAGAGATACAACGAACCAATAGCGTTTAAGATCTTCGCAAGTGGTAAATACGAAATGAAGGTAAAAATGGGTGCGATTGGAGTGTATGCAAAAAATTCAAATTTTTATGATAGAATTACAAAGGCATTCACCAAGTGAGTTCTGGGGATCTAACATCCCTAACACCTAGTCAAATATTTACTTATTTATTTATTTGAACACATATATATTGGTACAAAGGGGTACCAGATAAATATGCGTCAAACAGAGGTGAGAATAGTATTTTCAGTAACTTTCGTCACTTCATTGTGATTGTGTATGGGTTGTGATACTGCCCGGGTGCCCAAAGTGAAGCAGATGGATTTTTTAGGGGGCCACACCCCAGGCTTTTGACCTAGAAGTCTAATCCACAAGTCAGTGGAGCAACATCAGGAGATGCAGTCACATGATAGCCGGTCACAAACAATAGGTTCATACACCACTTGTTTCCTTAAGATCCTGGAGCCTATGTGAACCATTAGTTTGAATTCAAGGTTTTCCAACTCCCCTAGATGGACTCTCCATGTCAACCAATCCGGTTAAACTGCCGGACATTCGCTTTTCGTCTTCTCAATTTCATAAACAACATCCCCCCCCACGAGAAGATAGTGAGTAGGACTTCCCTGACAGTGGTTGTATACGCGTGGCCATGTGATAGTATTTGGAGAGGGATAGCTGCGTCTCCCCACTTTTGGCTGTACCAAGGCATTTCGGAGGGCGAATGTGTTACTTTCAGATCACAGAACTTCATTTCAACATATTAACTTGATGTAATATCTAGAAAAATTTATGATATACAATGAAAAGTTCGGGGGGGGGGGAGTTGGAAACAGTTCCAAAGTATCAACAGTTATTCAAATAAACATTTGAAAAAAAAAAGTATATCATTTACCTCAATTCTATGAAGTTGTATTTCTTTCATTAAACAACATGAATTGATATTGTGAATACATTGATTATATACATTAGTAAGAATAGAATTTTGATTAATTTCTTTTAATGAATAATGATTCTCATTAATAAAATCAGTTTTAATTAATTGATGATTATAAGTCATTTCAATAGTTGGTTTATTTGTATGAAATAATTCATTCATTTGACAACAAGTAAAAGATTTGGGTACTGAAATATTGTTATTATTATTATTATTATTATTATTACTATCATTATCATTAGTAGTAGTCATAGTATTGGTAAGAATAATACTAGATGTTTTATCATAAGACTGTCTCCTGTCATATTCATGATCGTGATGTTCACCATCAACATTATCAGTAATGTGAGGATTATTATTATTATGACTATTATCATGAGTAGTAGTCATAGTATTGGTAAGAATAATGCTAGATGTTTTATCATAAGACTGTCTCCTGTCATATTCATGATCGTGATGTTCACCATCAACATTATCAGTAATGTGAGGATTATTATTATTATGACTATTATCATGAGTAGTAGTCATAGTATTGGTAAGAATAATGCTAGATGCTTTGTCAAAAGACTGATTCCTGTCATATTCATGATCATGGTATTCACTACCAACATTATCAGTAATGTGAGGATTATTATTATTATTATTATTAATATCATTGATAGTAGTTGTATTAATATTGATTGAAGGAAGTAAATGTGTTATATGTTGTTTAGAATTCATTGGATTCAAATATACAATACAACTATTAGAATTTTGAGGATTTTTTTTACAATATAATACTTGATATAAATTAGATAATAATAATAATTCTGTATCAAATTTACTGATCATATGGTTTTTAGGTCTGAGCCAAATCCAATAAATGATCAAATGAACAATGGATGCTAATATTATATGAAGAAATATCAAACTGAATATCTATATACACATTAAAGAAGATAATTTTTTAAAAAAAACAAGAATTATATAATATATATTGTGTTTATTTTTTATTTGAACACATAGATATTGGTACAAGGGAGGCACCAGATACATATGTGCCATACAAATCCCCCAAATGTCCTGGTACGGCCAAGAATGGGTAAAGTCAACTCTCCTCTTCAAATGCTCTCAAGTAGCCACGTGCATACAACCACTGATAAAGAAGTACTACTCAGTACCTTCTCGTAGTATTAATAGTGTTTACGAAATTGAAAACACGAAAAGCGAATGTCCGACACTTTAACCAGGTTGGTGGATATGGAGAGGAGTCCATCTAGGAGAATTGGAAAACCCTCATTCCAAAACAGTGGGGCACATGGACTCCAGTATCCTGAAGGAAAAAATGGTGTATGAACCAATTGTTAGTCACCGACTACCATCAGACTGCATCTCCTCACGTTGGTCCACTGCTTTGTGGATTGGAACTCTAGGTCGAAGGCTCGGAGTGTGGCCCCCCCAAAAAAACCACCTGTTTGGGTTTTGGCAGCTGGGCAGTATCCCAGCCTTCACACAAATCAAATGATTTATGTGGCGTATATCTATTTGGTGCCTTCTTGTACCAATGTTTATGTGTTTAAATAAATAAGTAAAATAAAGTTTTATTTAATGTTATAAAATAGCTGAATAGTGCACCATGACAACTTCATGAAGAATCCAAACCAATAGGAATATATCTCAGATCTCGTGCATGATCGAATTTTAATAGCTAAGTTGGAATCTGGTGATCCATAAAATAACCAACTGTAGTAAGTTCAACATAATACACTGTTGTCATTATATCACTATCACTGATAAGTGTTTCAGAATTCCGAAAATCATGAGCTTTACTGGCAGTCATAGCTTCTAATTGAGTAATTTTAAAAAGGCTCCCCTAACAATCAAAGTTCCAGATAGTGTGTGGTTTGCTATGATTAATACTGAGGAGCCAGTAATAATGTGAAGCCATCAAAATCAGGATAACAAGCCTTCCAACAGCACCAAGCTGTTGTTGAGTTTAAGATAAAAACTACCTTCAAAGTTATTGTAATAATAAAATGTTTAATTCAGCCTAGTTTCTCTCTGAAGTTTGTATCTTCATATTATAAGAAGTTAGTCGTTTGTTACGTATTGTTCAATCATAAGATGACTCTACGTCAGATGGGTTTCGATCTTGAAACTTCATGATCAACTGTAAAGAAGGGACTATGGTGGTAAAACCTATTCCAATTAAAAAGCTAAAAAATAAACAAATAAATGAAGAATGAAGAATGGAAAACACATTGACCTACGTTTAAAATCATTGTATTCATTTGACAGAAATTATGAATAAATACTCCAAAATTATATAACCATACAGGCCAACTGAACTGTAACCATAACAAACCAAGTACGAATTGTTTCCATTCTGAGAACAATGATGATGATGATTCCATATGATAATGTTGATCTTTATAATCTCTTCTAGATAAATATGAATTGAATAAAGATTTTACATTGTATTCATTTGGATTATTACTGACACTACTACTGCTGGGGCTGAGGTTGTTGTCACTACTACCACCACTATCACTGTTAATATGATGACTTTTAGAGTTTGTAGTGCCAGTTGTAGTTTGTTTAAATTTTTCTTTATAATTTTTCGACAATGTAGCAGTAGTAACATCTAACCTTGATAGATAAACATCATCATTTGTTTGATAACTATCATCTGATTCAAATTCCGCATCATCAACATCTTCATTATTATTACCTACAACCATATCACCATCAACCATCATATACCAATCATCATGTTGAGATTTAAGCCATGGATTCCAATCTAGAGAACTTTCAAAGTCAGGCAATGGTGGTGGAGAAGTAAGTGATGTGACTAAATTTGATGATTTTGAAGTAGATGAACTTGATACAGTCCCTCCAGTATTGGCTGGTGTTGTGACTACTGATTCTGATGAAGATGATGAACTGGAAGTGTTGGAAGATAGAGGAGAAGATGTTAATGTTAAATCCGGTTGACCAGATGACGAAGAAGCAGGTAATGAATTCAATAATCGAGATTTTATACGTGTAGTTAAATCATTCAATTGTAATTCTAATTGTGAAATACGATGCTGATTAAATAAAATAAAAATATCAAATCAAGAGTGAGCACGTGTTATATTCATAAAATACAATTTTTTTTGGTAGTTTTGTGTTTTCTGAACCAAATGGTTTGATTACAGAGATTTTGTTGTCCTTTAGGAAAAGAATCATCAGTGTCTAGATTATATGCAAGTGAGCTTTGCAATTACTTATCAATTCACTTTAAAGGTATTATTTGTGATTAGTTATGTTGACTGTCTTTTTTCAGTTGACCTCTGACCATGTGGTGGTTGATTGACATCTATCTTATGGATTGATAGACTGATCTGTGTCGATATGTCTACAAAGTTACTAGTACATCTGAATGTCATGATTTCAGAAATTCTCTAAAATCGCTAGCTTCTTCAATCCAGAAATTCGACGTTTCTCTAATCGAATTCATGTTCATGGTTGTCTAATTGCAATGATATTACTTGTGGAATAAATAAAAAGTTCACTTTTACAAAATGTAGGCACTAATGATGTCAATCAGAACGATAATAAACGCTCCCCAATTAAACTATCTACCATAGACAGTAGAGTCGGTCAGTCAACTACAATGTAGGACTAGGAACATATATGCATCGGTAAAAGTTGCCATACCTCATTAACACAACAAGATGAACACCGATTCATAGTAGTTAATTCACTGATAGTAATAAATAAAAGAAAGATTATGTATAAGGATATAGTACAAGAAGAAAGAACTAGTGGGTAGAAAGAAAGATATAATGTAATTTTAATCTCACAGTTAAAGCGATGACAAAGAGTGCATACACCTACTCAATTGTAATCGATTCTGAGCCATGTTACCCAGAGTCTCAACAACTGATTACGATAATCACGTGGACAGTACAGTAACATCAAAAATTTCCATCTGAGCGTCAAACCTTCATTATTAATCTGATTTATAACGATTTCTAATGTTTTTCTCATTGACAAATCTGACTAAACTAAACATCAAAAATGTTAATTCAGTTATTTGATAGATTCTCATCAGTTGCTTACAATTTAAAAACTATAGTAATCATTCACTTAATTTTGTTTTCTTGGAACTTTCCATTGATCAGTCTCTTATTGGCATATGTACATCCTGTGTATTGCTTCGATATTGCCATAAATCACAAATCTTTTAAGCAAAGATGGATAGTAGCTAGCAGTGAAATCTAGTTTGACATGCGTTCTGTCCTATTGGGGATTCGTGAGCTAGATGTACTTGCATTTCAGAGTCGATGTTCACAATGGCACCCGAACCCCGTACTGTACGCTCCAAACGCCATCGCGTTATCCACTTAGCTACTGAGTCCTGATAGCCGCTTGCTTGTGCAATGGGGTGAATTTAAATTCACTTGGTATTGTCTGTTTGAATCTTCCCATTGACGTTTAAGACTGCAATTGATCGAGTCCCAGAATGAACATCAACTCTGAGATACATGTACATCAAGCTAACGAGTCCCAGATAGGACGAAACGTGCGTCCTGGATCTCACTGTTAGCCATAATCCATCTTTGCTTATAGTAATGATTATTTACAATTAATTTACATACTTTCGATTCTATTCAAAAAGATTAGCAGAATAATAACAACAGTTAGAGAAGAAATATAAAACGGTTTATAAACAGGAAACATCCTATGGTATAAAGTGATATATATTGGATGGATACTTTATATATTACTAAATGTGAAAGTTGTAGAGGGAAAAACTTAGAACACATGAAGATATGTTTCTAGAGGAAGAAAATCGGCATCAATGTTATCCAACAACAACCATAAACTTTGACAATATAACAGAGTGAGATAAGTAAAAAGCTGAAAAAGATCCAAGAATGAAACGAAGGAAATCTATTATAGAGAAAATGAAATAGAATATTATCCAAACTAATAATTAGCAGGGTAGTTAGAGTTTTACAACTGTATCCTTTAGAATATATAAGCTTGGTTTAAACTTTTCAACAGTGATGTCCTCTTCAGGTAACATAATAAACTTGAAGTAGATTCAGCATTGATTATTTTGATCGATTTTAAAGTACTAACGTGGTGTCCACTATCAAACATCCCAAATCACTACAAATTAAATCAAATTGAGTACCCATCTGGACACAGTAGCTAAGTTGATAATGCGTTGCGTGTTTGAAGTGAAAGGTAAGAGGCTTAAGTCACAAAGTGATCGTCAACTCCAAGAAGGAAATACATCCAATCTTGAATTCCACTACCAGCTACATCGCATTTTCTTGATTATTATTTAGATAAGCATTTCTATTTAAATGCATATGAAAAAGGAAGTGATGAATGAGAACACCAATTTGATTAATATTGACAAAACGTCTTACGGTATTTAGTGAGAAATGATAGGAAGAACGAAGATGACGATTCATATATTCAATCATACAATGTTAGCAGTTATCACTCGCCACCACTTAAGATTTGTTACAATCAAAGGTATATACTTTATAGTTGAAGCTTACACAACTAGTTAAAATACATGACTGAAAACGAGTGATAATTTACAACAAGTGATGTCTTTTCGTCGATTTTATGGCCTTCTCGACCGGTTGATTTTCCCAATTACTGAGGTGTGCTAATTTGGACCGATAGATATACATCTTAGCTGATCATTGTACATCAAGGTAACAATATAGAGAATCATTTGAGCCAGTCTAATGGTAGCAATATTCAGCTATTCGAAAAGTATATATATATACGTATTTCATGATCTATTGGGCAGTTGCTTCACCTTATTACAGAACTCTTAAGTGTTATATTTCCACAACCCCACCAAGGATTGAACTCAAAACCTTTAAGGTTTTGCACCAAATGCCTAGCATTTAAAACGCTGAGTTGATTTCTGATAGTTTACATTGCTAACTTCAACTATTTCATGACAATGTGCTACTATTTTCTGATGTCACAGATGGGTAATCGTTTGCACATGTGAAAATGTTTGAATCTTAACTGGTCACAACTTTTCAAATGAATATACAGAACCAACTTTCAAAGTTAAGTATCAGTTAGCAAATGATTATTATTAATGCAACGGATTCCCCAACTATGATTGATAAATGTTGAATAAAGGGCATATAACTTGAATCATTCTAGCTCAAGATATTATTTATTTTTAATAGTTAAATTCATGAGTCAATTGAAGGTAGATCACCATAGAAAACCTGAAAGCATTGGATGGCCGTCTCGTTCTAGTATGAGACTCCTCCTCCTCAGCAGTGAGCATCCACGATCACGCTTCGCAAGATCCCAACTCAGGACCTAACAGTCTCAAGCGTGAGCGCTAAATCACCAGACGGTGTTAATGTTTAACTTCAATCAATCCAGATATTATGCTAATAATAAGCATAAAATGAATTATAATAAATAAAATTTTAATTTTATTTATTTTAACTAACTTGTTGTTGACGATCACGTTCTTCAGCACTATGAGCTGTTACTTTTAACCAAGCATAAGTAAGATTAAATGAACGTGCTAAACGTTCCATTTGACGACGATAACTTTGACTAAGTTCTTCTAAGTACCTATAAAATCAACAAATAAATATATATATATATAATTAATGATAGAAAGAATTCAATACTTGACTTGTTCACAATATAGAATTTTAGTATTTCTTTATAGAGATCTTTCTACATTGTCTTTTTGAACTAAGTATATATCAAATGTTTGATTGTTCTCATTATAATTGCTACCAGATTATTTCAATGTATTTTGCTAAGTATTTTGATATTTTCATTTCATCATACTAATGTGATATGATAATTTTTTTCAACGAATATCTTTGCCCCGAGAGTGGGGAGAGTCAGCTCTCCCGCTCGAAATGCCCTCACATGGCCACGCGTATATAGCCTCTGCCAGGGAAGTCCTACTCACTGCATTCTCGTGGCATTACTGTTGTTTACGAAATTGACAACACGAAAAGCGAATGTCCGACACTTTAACCAGGTTGGTGGACATGGAGAGCCCACCTAGGGGAGTTGGAAAACCCTCATTCCAAACCAATAGTGTACATAGGCTGGCTCCAGTATCCTGAAGGAACAAATGATGTATGAACCAATCGTTGGACACCGGTTACCATGGGACTGCATCTCCTTACGTTGCTCCACTGCTTTGTGGATCAGACCATCAGGTTGGAAGGCCTCGGGTGTGAGAAACAGGCATTTAGTAGTTAAAAAGGAGGAAGATTTAAAATGTCAAAATTTTGAATCTATCCTTTAAGGGAATTTTAATATGAAATGTACTTAACACAAGATATTTATTTAGTGTTCTAATTTTCAGTTTCTCTTTAACTTATCAATTAGTGTGATATATTTTACCATTCTTCATATATGACACATATATTACATATATCGTACACCTATTATACAATGTGGTACCTTAAATATACGGGCGATTTATGATAGAGTATTATCATTGTTATTTCATGTATATTAATCACATGAGTTTGTAACATGGAATAATCCAAGATATTGAGCTTAAGGATGACAGAATTTCATGTAGGTCATTAACCGTTAGCATATACATTAACTAAGTAATTGAACTCATAGCTATTGCAGTATGTACACAATCATCATTTTGTTGAAGTATATAAATCACCAGTTTTATTTAGAAGGATTTTACCAAAGCTAATCATGATTACATTTATTTGATAAATAAAAAAATCACTTGTATGATACATCTTGCAATGGTTGTTTGAAACGTCTCATTGATTTTTGGGACTGCAATTGATCAATCTCTTGTTGGCGTATGTACGATCTGTGCGGATCACCTCGATATCGCTTCAATCGCAGACATTATAAGCAGAGATGGATGATGGATAGAAGTAGAATCCAGAACGCGCTTTTCGTCCCACGTGGGACTCGTCAGATGCATGTACCTGAATCCCGGAGTTGATGTTCAGTTCGGGACTCAAACCCAGTACCATTAGCTTCAGATGTTATGGCATCATCTACTTTACCGTGCAATGCATGTCCTGGATTCCACTGCTAGCCACTATCCATCTTTACTCTTCATGCTTGTGAATTAAGGCAATATCGAGGCAATAAGCACAGGATGCACATATGCCAATAAGAAACTGATCAATTTTAGTCCTAAAAATCAATGGGAAGATTCAAACAAACAATACCAAATGAGTGTCAACTTCACCCCATTGCACAAGCAAACAACTATCAGGACTCAGTAGCTAAGTGGATAACGCGATGGCATTTGAAGCGAACAGTACGGGGTTCGGGTCCCAGAGTGAACATCAACTCTGAGATGCAGGTACATCTGTGGTGTGGGTTACTTATATCCACACAAGTAGTATATAACGGTGGTCAGGCATAGAATGTATTTCAGTAGAGGGTCGACGAGGGAGGAACGGGAACGGAACGCAATTGGTATGAAAAGGCATGAACAATGAAATCTGAGACAATGGATTGATGTTCGCAACAGGAACAGTCAAGTTTGATATGATGGACTGATATTTTGCAAACTAACGATTTACTATATGGTTCTCAGGTTTTATTGAGATGCTCTGTAATTTAGTGCCAAATACATTCGATTGTTCCCACTAGTGTTCTTTGTTCACTACACATTCAGCTCACGAATCCCAAATAGGACGAAACGCATGTCAAACTAAATTTCACTGCTAGCCACTATCCATCTTTGTTTAAAATGGAATATCATTAGAATAATATTCATTTATTCCTTTGTCTGTTCATACATTCAATCTATGGGATAAATATAAATCTGACAAGTACATCAATACGTTATACATGTTATACCCCGACCGTTGTTACTACCTTGATGTGGTGGTCAAGCTTGCCTATCGTGACGGACCAATCGAGCTATAGTGTCTGGAACATATGTTCCTGTAGTTTCTACCATCCCAGACAGGTCGATTGGAGAACGGTAAGACCAAAAGCAGCAACTCAAGGTCTGAGGGCGAAGTCGTACTACTGACTGTAGAGGGGTGTGACAGCAGTAAGGCGTTTCCTTCGGCCAACCAGCATCTGCAGCGATGCTGCCTTCTCACAAGGAAGGACGGGGTTAGGAAAGTTTGACCTCCTTAAATTGTCGCACCTCATCTTACCTCACGGATTTCCGTCTCCGGCGGTAAGGCCTTTTGAAGAACGGAGCTAACAAGTTAAAAACGTCCCATAAAAAGGCCATGAGCAACCGGCCTTAAGCAATTGTCCCTTGAGCTCTGCGATTACGCTTCAAGGTCGTTAAGACTAACACTAATCCAATTTCCTTTTCAGGTTTCTCAAGAAATACCCTTCCACGGTGTGGGCAGCCGGGAAGTGACATCAGCCCTTACGAGACCAAGTTGGTCACATTCAAATCCTGACTGATTGAAACATGTTATACTGATACTATTACTATTCTAAATGATAATTATTTTACAAAATTATACATGAACTACTTAAAAGTATTATACATTGATATATTTGACAATTGATTGAAAACTAAATAATAACAAAAAATACAATGAATTCATTACTGTGAAAACAATACAAATGAACACACCTAGAAATAAGACATAGGAACTGATTAAAAGAATTTCATATTTTTATGCCTTAAAATACAATTGAATCTAGAATAATGATAAAATGAACTGATAGTTTATTTCTATTTAAGGATTTTTTTAATAGGACACATCATTAGTCTTGTAACCATTTAATCCTTATTTCAAAAATAAATTAAACAATAGAGTAATTTATAGTTTAAAAAAATTAAAAGTATTTTGATGATGTTTTGTTCACTGAACTGAATGAAGTTTGTGTTGATGATGTCGTTCAGAAGAATGATGAAAGCTCCACAAATAAAAAGATCTAAATATTTATCCTTGTTAACCTAATTGCGATAAAATTAATCCCGAATTCATAGTTCCGTATGACCTTTGCTTTTCTTGAAAATCACTATTAGACATCAACTATTGCTAATAACGTAGATGCACACAAATGCTCTGGTGCGACCGAGGGTGGGGAGAGTCCGTTCCTTCTATCGAAACACTTTCACATGGCCACGCGTATACGACCACTATTAGGGAATTCATACTCACTCCATTCTCGTGATCAGGGTGTTGTTTACAAAATTGACAACACGAAAAGCGAATGTCCGACACTTTAACCGGGTTGGCGGACATGGTCAGTATACCTAGGGGAGTTGGAAAACCCTCATTCCAAATCAATGGTTCACATGGGCTGGCTCCAGTATCCTGTAGGAACAAATGGTATATGAACCAATTGTTGGTCACCTACTACCGTGGTACTGCATCTCCTAACGTTATTCCACTGCCTTGTAGATTAGGCCTCTAGGTTAAAGGCTCAGGGAGTGGCCCCCCTGAAAAACAACCACCTGTCTCGGTCCAGGTGTCCGAACAGTAGCTCAGCCCTCATACAAACCGAATGTTTTGTGTGACGCATGCGAATTTGGTGCCTCCTTATATCAACGTTTATGTGTTTAAACAAATAAATAATAAATAATTAACATAATAACTAAATAGCTTTTTATTTTCATATTTTATCATGTTATTGTCTACATGCGTATATCGAGTTGAATAATGAAATCGTATGACATATTGGATATTGAATTGTAGTCAAATTGATTAATGAAATATTTCATTGAACAGTGAAACAGAAATAGACGTTATTTACGTCCAGATAAGTAAGTTAAAGTTAACCTTGTTCAATTATCATCAAGCAAGTAGTATATTTAAAAGATTAGAATTTATAAATGATTTTGTTATAAGTGAGATGCGAATTATGGTGACCTTCCCATCTGAGGGGATGCACGGAATACAATGGACAGATTGGATACAACTAGATGATTTGGACTTCACAGATGACCTAGTTCTTCAATCCTATACATACTAACAAATTCAGGTGTAGACAGTTAGTGTAGCAGCAGCCTCTGCATCAGTAAGCCGCCACACATACAAGGGAAAAATCGAGATCCTTAAGTACAGCACAGCGGGTGGGTGGCCTATACTCCTCTCCACAAACAGTAAGTAAGTAGTGTTTCTAATTAGCTCTATAATAAGGAAAACAACTAAACTTCTAGGCAAGAAATGACAAATAAGGGAATCGAAACTCAGACATGTACTAACCAAGCTAAAATATTCATTATCACAGAACAATTCGAAAAAAAGATGAGAGTACGACTATGTATTCATTTATACGATAGTATGAAAATTATTACAAAGAAACGCTAATGTTCAAGATTTTCACAATTAAAGATAGAAAATTCTAAGTGGTAACATTGTCTTAGATCGATTGAAATGTTTACGACATCTGAAACCATTGAATAGTTTCTGTAAACTACTATGTGTTCCGCTGGTTTTCTCTTCATATAAAGTTGAAAAATATGATGAATGATGAAATTACATTCTTTGTCTACTTCTAATAAGAAAGAAATGGTAAACTGACTGATAAGGCGAATTTACTTTCACTTATTAGCTGTTAATTTACTACACTGACTAATATAGGAGTAGATTGAAAGAAAATCAACGGCGAAAAAATCCTAGATATGACATGCAAATGGATTCAGTCTTTACTGTCTTACAAATTTGTAGCTCATCATTCTTCAGTACAGTTTATTCCGTTGTTTGGTTTGTTTACGTAAGCGGATCAATAATATGAGTATAAAGTGTGACAACTTAAATAAATACAGATTATCACTAACTGACTAATCGAAGAATTCGAAGTAATTCATTTAAGCCCATGACTTTAATACATGGTTTCATTGACTGACTTCAACCAGATGGAAGAGAATTTGAACCAACAAATTTAATGCATACAAATTGATTAGCTTAATCAACTAAGATACGACAGTCTAATGGAGATATAATCACATTTTTGATGAATAAATATATTCAACAACAAAAAAAGACAAAGACAAAACAACAATATTACAAAAATTAACATACCTCATACTGACAGAAACATTACGTTCAATAATACGTACACGATTATTAAGACGCATATATGCTGTTGATCTATGTGATCCACCTAAAGCAGCTGGTACAACTAATCCTTCATTATGTGAATGTGGACGATTAATTTTATGCGATTTAATTGATGATGTGGATGATGATGATGATGATGATTTTAAACTTTTAGATGATTTACTATTTCGACTTTGAATAATCATATCAGCTGAATGAGGATAATTTTCAATGAACATTTTTTCATTTATATTGTTATCTGTTGAATCGATTAGATCAGGAATAACAGGAGATTTAAATGATAATGTTGATAATTCAGAATATTTAGTTGATAATAAAAATGATGGCAATTTGAAACACTATAAAAGTGAAAATAAATAGAAACAAAAACAAGGAAAATTGTCAGTCAAGAGTTATGAAAATCGTTTAGTGATTTCAGTAAAATTAAAATTCTTCATATGTATTAACTTACAAAGCGAAGTGTTCAAATTGTAATGATTATTTATTTAAACACATAAACTTTGGTATAAGGGGGCACCAAATAGATATGCTCCACACAATCTCATTTGATTTGTATGAGGGCTAGGATACTGTCCGAATGCCCAAATCGAAACAGGTGGTTTTCTCAGGGGGCCACGTCCCGAGCCCTTGACCTAAAGTTCTAATACACAAGGCAGTGGAGAAACGTTAGGAGATGCAGTACTATGGTAGTCGGTCCCCAATAGTTTGCTCATACGTCATTTGTTTGCTTAGGATCCTGGAGCCCGTGTACACCATTGGTTAGGAATGAAGGTTTTCCAACTCCCCTAGGTGGATCCTTCATATCCACCAACCTGGTTAAATTAAAGAGCCGGACATTCGCTTTTCGTGTTGTCAATTTCGTAAACAACACCCCCGCCATGAGAAGACAGTGAGTAGTACTTCCCTGACAGTGGCTGTATACGCGTGGCTACTTGAGAGAATTTCGAGTGGGAGAGCTGACTCTCCACACTCTCGGCCGTACCATGGCACTTATCATTTGTAATGATAAGTGATTGAAAAACTACAAACAATATCGAATCACTTAATTCAATTATACTTAAATAATAATTCCATCATCTAATGTCAAACTTACCCTATTTTCTAAGATAATTTATTTAAACTTCATTAAACTAGAAACATCATATATTGAAATGTACAACACTGTTTTGGAGGAAATCAAACAATATTCTTGATTCATTAATAATATGTTAACTAAAATATGAAAATTGAGTACATGAAGTAGATTACTAATTTAATACAGCATATCAGTCAGTTAACCTGATGGCCTCAGATGCTATAAGACGTGTAGTATTGCGTAGAACAGTAGAGTTTAACAAAATAACTATTAACTACAAAGACGTATCGATAGACGCTTTACACAAAAAAATAATAAGTACAACTAAATAATGAAGCAATGCACAATCATGTATAGGACTATAACATCAACAACAAGTATGTGATTATAATTAATTTAGAAGATACATTCATAAAAAGGTCATTAGTACACTTTTTATTATCTCATCTACCACGGGCATATTTGTATATTTCACTTTAAGTCATACTGTAAATGTAAAGGCTGATGATATTACCCATTCTTCCAAACCGAAGTAGGTGAGATGTAGTTTAACTTAGCGGATTAAAATCGAATCCCTTAACCACAGAGTAACCGCTTTAAACTGGTTAGCTATAAACAACAAAATGATTACATATGGTGGATAACACAAGGCTATTCAAATTAGTTAAGAAGCACTGAAAGCCACTTTATACCCTGCTTTGCAGCGGCTAGTGACACCGAATGCTTTTGACCTGACCTTTCTACACAGGAAGAAGGTTTAATGTTTGCCTATTACATAATCTCCTTTTGGTGCAATTTCAAATCTGAAAACCTAACTGACATTCACTCATGACGTAACTTTCAAATTTATATCAATTAGTTGACCTACCCACTCAGCCATTTCGCTTCTTTACTAGTATTTATGATATTGTCCCAATGTTTATATTACTTCACTTTCTATATATTTCTCGATATTGCGTGCACAATGTTGAGATAAGATGGTGGTTGGAGGTAATCGACTGGAAAACCTGAACCTAAGTTTCATGCTATTAGGCACTCGTCAGCAAGGTGTACCTGCAATCTTGACGGAACTGGTGATGTGATAAGCCAAGCTAAAGAAGTCCCAAAGCATCATAATACAATTTAAGAGTGGATGACCTATTAGGAGTAAGAGGATATTTACCAAGGTAAAATCACTGCTTACATGTCTCTGTCAATCTGGGAATCCATAAGCTAAAAACATTGTCAATTGACTTTCGACAATTAAGCTTCCTAACAAATCCTTGTCCACTTCATCTACATATATGGGTCAGTTAAAACGTTAAGAAAATGGATAGTGAATGAATGGGACAGCAGAATATAAAAAATTCGATACTTAATGACCACCGAATATTATTTTACCCCAATACGATATGTGATAAAGTAACGTAATCTCTTATCACGTTTATTAAGTTTAAGACTTGTGATTAGGTTATTTATCCAAACATTTAGACTGTTATTCAATAGGACACTGTAGGTAAATATAACAAGTCAATAAAATCAGTTCTTTTAACTGATTCATCAACCAGATACGAATTATATACCTGACTTCGAACCATAATGTAAGTGTGAGGGCTACTAATATTAATTGAGCTAAAAACAGTGTGGCGAGGTTCGAACCCGTGACCTAGTAACTAAAAAAGTTGAACTACTGAACCAATGACTCACAGTTATTAGTAAGTTAAGTATGCGTTAGGGATGTTTAATCCATAAATAAAACATATTAGATAGAAATCGATTGTAAGATCAAATATTTGTTTAGAGTGATTTTCATTAAATTACCTTTCAGTGCACTTTCATTTGTACTAATTAATTCAGTGCAATTTTTTTGTCTGTAACATTGGTTCAATTTGGCGAATTCTTTTGTTAAAAATCAACTGTTTATTTATTTATTTATTTTAACACATAGATATTGGTACAAGGAGGTACCAAATACATATGCGTCACACAAATCTCATTCGATATGTGTGAGGGCTCAGCTACTGTTTGGACACCCGAAACGAGACAGGTGGTTGTTTTTTAGAGGGCCACTCCCCGAGCCTTTAACCTAGAGGCCTAATCCACAAAGTAGTGGAGTAACGTTAGGAGATGCAGTATTATAGTAGCCGGTCACCAACAATCGGTTCATACACCATTTGTTCCTACAGGATACTGGAGGAGGACACTAGACGACTATGTCCTTTCAAATATCCCAGTACGGCAGCGGTTGAGGGATATCTTCGTTCACTCTTAAAGTGCTCTAATAAATTCGTGAATCAACCACTTTATTTCAGAATTGTCTTATTCACTCCGTTCATAAGGCGACGGCATTTCCACAAACATCAGGATGAAAAATAATGTTGGGTAATTAAACCTAATAAGTGCATACGAGAGTCTACCTAGGAGAGCTGGAGAATTCTAGTTTCAAACGAGTCGCGTACATGAGCTAGAGGAATCTGACATGGAGCCATAGAATCAAAGATAGCTGTATTGGATTAGTAGTGATCCGTTAGTTAGTCACTAATTCCCCAACACAATTCCATAATACAGTGATATTTTATTCTATCAAGCTTAGCTTATAATATAAATCTGTACAAATCCTGCTGTACACGTCGTACAGAACAAGATGTTTCGCCTAACTGAATGAAACATAATATTAGATCAAATGATTGATTACATGGTTTTAAATTTCTTGTTTCTTCTTTAAGTTGTCAAGTCATTTTGTAAAACACATCCCCTGATTCTCCACCATACGAAGCTTTTTATCATATTCAAATCCTGACTACATCTTTTTCAACTCATTTGGCAAATAAAATTTTGAGTAAACATTTTATACAAGAGTTACTGATTGTGAACAAAATGATCGCGAGTATTTTTATTGTGAGTGGACAGTCGTTACTTCGCAGTTGCTCACACAGTGTAAGGATACTTCTTCACGGGGTAACCAAAAAGGAAAGTTGGTTAGTATTGCAGTCGACCCACTGTCAAAGCCCATTAAAATCAACAGCACGACCTCGCCCTCAAACCTTAAGTTGCCGCGTTTATTATTACCACTATACAACCAAACTGCCTCATATTGTACGACCCAAGGGAACGCGTGATCCAAGCAGTATAAGTCGGTTAGATAGTCATGATAGGCAATCCTAACAAAGATGTTAAGCCAGCAGCTATGTTTAAACGAATTATTAATGCTATTCAACTACTTGAACTGAAGTATGTAGAATGGATTCAAACTTGTGACTAGATCGATATTCACCTCAAGAATATAAATATTAATTTAGATAAATAATTTATAAACAAAATCACAGGGAATATAAGTATGAAGGATACACACTTTTATTTAACAAAAGTCAGTCAACCACAATGTAGGACCAGGAACATATATAAATCGGTCAAAGTTGCCATACCTCGTTAGTACAACAAGATGGACAACAAATTCATAGAAGTAGCTAACTCAATAGTGGTAATATATAAAAGAAAGATTGAGCATAAGGATATAATACAGGAAGAAATAACCAGTTTGTAGAAAGAACGGTATAAAGTTATTTCAATCTCACAGTTTAAGGGAGGACAACGAGTGTATACACCTATGCCATTGTGTTTGATTCTGAGCCATGTCACACACAGCCTCCAAACATTGGTTATGATAGTCAAGAGGACCCCAATTAAGTAGTCTGCATCTACCAACATGGCTAAGACTAGGAGTTAGTGACTTCAAGCACTGATGCCATGTTTTGGTTTGGCCACTCTTAACTTTATTCCAACCATCCTCAACACTAGTCAGCATTACACGTCGTGGTAATCGGTGTTCAGGCATACGTAACACGTGGCCCCAACCATCTCAGTTGATGATGATTCACACCTCATCAACCGATTGACCATCATTCCCTAATATTCTGCGTCTAATCTCACTATCACATATTCGGTGATCCCAGAAGACACAAGCAATATTTCCAAGACATCTGTGGTCAAATACTAGTAGCTTACAAGTATCTTCAACTCTTAATGACCACGTTTCGCAGCCGTAAAGTAGAACAGAACGAACTGCTGCGCATTATACTCGTCCCTTAATTAATGGACGGATATCTCGCTTTCGTCATAGGTGACGTAAGTTGTTAAAAGCCAAACGAGCTTTTAGAATTCGTGCTGAGATTTCATCAGACACCAATCTATTAGGGCTGACCAGACCTCCAAGATAAATGAAGTTTTAACCCACTCGACTACTTCACTACGTATCCTTAGTTCAGGTGTTGACGCAGGCCAGTCCTGAAGCAACAAATTGCATTTAGAGAGGGAGAAGCGCAACCCAAACACTCTGGCATTTTTTATCAGTGCTACCAAAAGACTGCATTTCACCAGCGTCTTCACTAAACAGGACTATATCACCTGCGTATTCTAAGTTGATAAGTTGACCTCCTGGAAGGAGATCAATACCCGAGAATTCAGTCGACCAGAATGTTATTTCAATCAGTGCCCCCAAATGCCCTGGTATGGCCGAGAGTGCAGAGAATCCGCTCTCCCTCTCCAAATGCCCTCACATGGCCACGCGTATATAGCCTCTGCCAGGGAAATCCTGCTCACTGCCTTCTCGTGGCAATACTGTTGTTTACGAAATTGACAACACGAAAAGCGAATGTCCGGCGCTTTAACCGGATTGGTGGACATGGAGAGTCCACCTATGGGAGTTGAAAAACCCTGATTCCAAACCAATGGTCCACGTGGTCTCCAGTATCCTGAATGAATAAATGGCGTATGAACCAATTGTTGGTCACCAGCTACCATGGGACTGCGTTTCCTTACGATGCTCGATTGCCTTGTGGATTAGACCTTCAGGTCGAAGGCTCGGGGAGTGGCCCCCTAAGATAACCACCTGTTTCGGTTTGGGCACCCGTGCAGTATCACAGCCCTCACACATATCGAATGAGATTTGTGTGGCACATATGTATTTGGTGCCTCCTTGTACCGATATCTATGTGTTAAAATAAATAAATAAACAAATATTTCCATCAGTAGGTCTATGATAAAGTTAAACAAAAATGGAAAAAGTGGAGTCTTGACGGACACCATTTGTGGTTGCAAAATCAGATGACAGTCCGCCATAAGCTCTACCTCGACTGGCAGTGTTCGAGTAAAGAGCCTTCACAAGTTATTTTATGTACTTCTGAGGTACGCCTTTCAATGACAGACACTGCCACAGAATCTCGCGGTCTACCGAGTCAAATACTGTTTTTAACTCAAGAAAGACCACCATTGTTAGACGCCGAGAAGTATACCTGTATTCTAGAACCTGACGAATGGTGAATATGTGGTCGATGCAGCCACAACCAGGTAGGTCTGAAGTCAGCCTAATTTTCTCGTGTTTTCAATTCACGTGTCTTTATTAGGCACCCGATAATTATTGAGGTTAGTATTTTAGATGCTATATTAGTCAAACTAATCCCTCTATGGTTATCAAAAGATAATTTTGATCCTTTCTTATATATTGGGACAATCAGTGATTGTGAACAGTCAGATGGGATTACATCTAACTCCCAAATTTTAACTAAAATATTAATCAATCTAATCGTTAAAATTGGACCACCATACAAAAGTTCAATATAGAATACAATCATTAAACAAAATCATTTACCTTATAGTTATCAATAGTATTATTCCAAAGAAATATATTCAATTTTTTCCAATTCCAATTAAACAATTCACAACAACAATTAATATCATATGATGATAAATAGGTGAATGATTTACATTCAATACAATATGATGATGATGGTGATGATAATGATGATGATGATGATTGTATTAAAGTTTTATTATGTTGCATAATATAATATGCAATATATAAATGTCCAATACTTTTATCTAATTCATATAATGACCATTGAGAATATGATTGTTCAAATTGTAAATAATGTGAATTTGTTATGCATGTTAGATTCAATTGATCAATAGCATATGAACATTCTTTGATTTTCATTGGATTGATTGAATTCAATGATGTAAATGAATGAGAATTTATAGAAGTATATTGTAAATCTAATAATATAAGACATTTACGTAAAGACCATAAACCTTCAATTTGATTCATTGTTAAATACATCATAGAATCTTTACATAATGGATTAGAAAAACCAATTGGATTGAATAAATAATTAATTGTATGGAAATTTTCTAATGTTGGAATAATATCATGTAGAATCAGATTGGTAGTATCTAAAGAAATAAATAATAAGACTGATCAATTACAATCTTAAATAACAATAAGAAGATATAAGTAGAACAATACCAAGTGAATTTAAACTTTACCTCATTTAACAATCAGGTGATTATTAGGACTCAGTGGTTAAGTGGAGTACACAATGACATTTGAAACGAACAGTATTGGGTTCGAGTACCGGAGTGAACATCAACTCTGGATTCAACACTCATAAACATCAGAGTTGAAATGCAAATGTATCCACCTGAAAAGTACCATCCTAAATTCTATTGTTAACCATAGATCAAATATACCAAGTTTACACTTTAAATGGTATCAAGACTATTTTTGAAGCTAGTAATAAAATTCTCAATCATTCGAATCAAATTTGAGCTTGTAAAATTATAGTTGAAAGTTTGACATAGATTAATGAACAGACAGAAACTGTTTTCAGCTTGATTGCCAAAAAAAAGAATTATCAAACTTCATTCATCTATCAAGTGAACAGCTAAATATATGTTTATTTATTTATTTATTTGAACACATATATATTGCTACAGGAGTGCACCAAACATATATGCGCCACACAATTTCAGTTCATTAATTGCGTGTGGGCTGTGATACTGCCCGGGTGCCCAAACCGAAGCAGGTGGTTTTCTTAGGGGGCCACTCCCCGAGCCTTTGACCTAAAGGTCTAACCCACAAGGCAGTGGAGCATCGTAAGGAGATGCAATCCCATGGTAGCCGGTGACCAAAAATTGGTTCATACGCCATTTGTTCCCGCACGATACTGGAGCCCATGTGCACCATTGATTTTGTTTGGGATCCGGTTAAAGCGCCGGACATTCGCTTTTCGTCCTCTCATTTTCGTAAACAACCCCCCCGCCACGAGAAGGCAGTGAGTAGGACTTCCCTGGCAGAGGCTGTATACGCGCGGCCGTGTGAGAGTATTTCGAGAGGGAGGGCGAACCCACCTCGCTCTCGGCCATAGCAGGGCATTTGGGGCAACAGCTAAATATATGTGGATCTGTGTTATCAACGATAGTATATTAAAATAGGTTTTCATTTATTATTAAATCAATGATAAATTATTGAAACTTTTCAACTAATTAAATCTATTGTCTATGGGAGCAAGGGCTTAAACAAAACTGTTGACTTATTTACACAGAGTCTGAGACTATTTTTTCCAAGTGAACTATGCCATTTTATAATTCTCGCAAAAATATGCACAACAGATTTAAAGTTCTATGGAATAAATACATTTTCATGCACCATAAAGAGGAATGATAAAACACAAAATGAAATTAGGTAATAATCGATTTACACATGAATAAGATTCATGCTCTTTTATTCACCTTCAAAACACTAAACAGATGGTTATTTCTACATTAATAGTTTACTGAGTAGAGGTTTAGGCACACGACATTTAGCCATATTCTTAATGAGACCTAATTATACGAGTTAGGTGATTAAACCGAAGTAGGCGGAGTAGGTGGCTTCAATCTTCGATCCACTGATTCCAATGTACGAGATTTAAACACCTTTATAAACTACAACACTATTCTATTGGTTATTTAGAGTTCAACGAAATAAAAGTAGGAGAGTGACAATAGAAAAGAGTTTACAAATAAGCACAAGTAATTAACTAAGAGATTAGATTCATGACGAACTGATGTAAGTTGAAGAATTACTAAACATAGAAAGCCATTCATAATGAGAAGTTATGATTAAAAAAGAATATATGGTCTTTGAAGCCAAACAAGTCACGGATTACACATTTTAACTAATTACCGATATTTATTTTATCACAAGTTGTAAAAGTTATATTATTGATGTTTTCCACTTACTGCTTACCATTATCAATGAAACTACCTAGAGTAACCTATGTTAAGATTAGGAAAATATAATATTCAGGGAAAAGAAACAGTTAAGCCACTTTATTAAGGAGTGAAAAGTGTGTTACAAACTTCCACACAAATGTATGACGATGTTAGCTAAAATGAAGGGGAATACATTGAAAAAAGCTTTACAGTGAGTAGTCATAGGGATTACACTCTGTAGTGCGTACCACCATAATATAACTTCAAAGTTCATCTTATTAATACAAAAACAATCCCTTTACTAATCTTTTGATTGACTTTTTTTTATTTTAACACATAGATATCGGTACAAGGAGGCATCAAATACATATGTGCCACACAAATCTCATTCGATATGTGTGAGAGCTGTGATACTGCACGGGTGCCCAAACCGAAGTAGGTGGTTTTCTTAGGAGGCCACACTCGGAGCCTTCGATATGAAGGTCTGATCCACAAAGCAGTGGAGCAACGTAAGAAGATGCAGTCCCATGGTAGCTGGTGACCAACAATTGGTTCATACGCCATTTATTCATTCAGGATACTGAAGACTATGTGCAGCAATGGTTTGGAATCAGGGTTTTTCAACTCCCATAGGTGGACTCCCCATGTCCACCAATCCGATTAAAGTGTCGGACGTTTGCTTTTCATCCTCTCAATTTCGTAAACAACACCCCCGCCACGAGAAGGCAGTGAGTAGGACTTCCCTGGCAGAGGCTATATACGCGTGGCCATGTGAGAGCATTTCGAGAGGGAGAGCGGATTCTCCGCACTCTCGGCCGTACCAGGGCATTTGGGGGCTTTGATTGAAATCCTGAACCGATTGATGTTAGACCATCATTAAATATTTCCAAGCACTGGAAAACCGTTTCGTCCTATTGTAGCACCCCTCAGCAGTGTGCATCTATGACCCCGCTCGTAGGACTCTACTAATCTGTTCTCTCATATTCTCTTATACATTGTTTATGTTAGTATGCATTTCTAAATGAGTTGACTTTTTTGTTCTAGTGTTGTTTAAAAATTGATTGTAAATTGAAATCATTTTACTACTTATTAATAATCTAGCACTAAAAAATTAATCTCATCTTATCCAAAAGAAAATTATTGTTATTATTATTATTATAAATGAAGGTGTGAAATGGATCAATCAATAACAGACAATAGTACTACATGCAACACTATAACACCCTATATAAACAATTAATTAGGAACAAAGAAATTTCAATGAGAAGTTTATTAATGGAAAATAACAAAATGAAAAAGACAATTAAAAAAGAAATGATTAATGTATACACCCATTGTAACATTGGACTTAAAGTAGATTATTGTTTATTTATAGTAGCTCTTAATTCAATTACATTACACTATAAGTATACAGTGCACATACAGGCACACTACAATAATCACATGTTTAATTTAGACCTCAAAATAGAAGTTTGATTTTACATTATACCTAAGAAAGTATGGTATTTAACAATTATAAGAATGAATTATTACCATTTTTATTATTGTTATCAATATGTTACGCATGATGAGGAAAAAATAATCCCCAACATTTTATTTAGACTAATGATCAAAATTACATACATTGATGACTTAGTAGTTAAAGCATTTGGCTTTCATCAAGTCAGTAATTTTAAGTGCTGTTAGAGGTATGAGGGCAGTTATCACTTCCAGGTTGCCCACACTATGGAACGGTTATTTTGGAGGTACCTGAAAAGGAAATTGCATTAAAGGTGGTCTTAGTGACCTGAGAGTGTGACCGCAGTGCCCAACGAACAACTGCCAAGGGTCGGTAACACACGACCTTTTTGTTAGAAATGTTTGTGTTAGCTCCACACTTGTTGAGACCTTACCGCCGGAGACGGATAACCGTAGGATAAGGTGAGATGTGCATTTTTAGGGTCGACTGGTTGCCTGAAGGAAACAACTTACTGCCATCACAGCTCTGTACAGTCAGCAGTACGACTGCGCCTTCGGACCTTGGGTTTGCTGCTTTTAGTCTCAACGTTCTTCAACCGACCTGCTTGGTATGGTAGGACCTTGAGGAACGATTGTTCCAGCCAGTATAGCTCGATTGGTTCATTACGATAGGTAAACCTGACCACCACGTCAAGGTAGCAGCAACGGTCGGGGTTTGGTTTTCATAAATTAGGTGAAATGTTTAAAAACTCCGTAACACGTACACTTTGGTTTGGAAATCCATAAATTATATAAGCATTTCGAATTACAGGTACGTGAATAAACTTCTACTCAATGTAAGATGACTGGCGGTGGTCAACAGAAAACTCTGTTTGTTTACTAATTTATTAACTGAAGGATTGTAGGAGACCATAATACACTATAATAATTGAGCACCGATGTAGTTATTGTAGTCTTTATACAAAAATTAGGCAATTATAAGTGTCATAGCCACACTGAATACCCCGGTATACTTGAAAGTACCATTTTACTCGAAATAGTCTCATATGATCACGCGTCCCTGCTATGGAATTCCTGATCACTAACTTAAAGTGGCAATGATAGATTTTATGAGGTTGAGAGGATGGAAAGAGAAATTCTGAACCTTAAACCAGCTTGATGGATACAGAAGGTCCACCAAGAGAAGTTGGGAAGTCTTGAATCCAAGCACAAGGATGTACATGGGCTAGAGGACTCAAGCTCAAAGAGTAGCTTACTAACCTACTTTGGTCACTGAATACCACGACATTGCACTTCCTGATGTCGCTCCATCGTCCAACAGATTAGACCTTGAGGTCGAATGGTGAGTAATGTTCCTCTAAGGAAACCATTTGCTTTGGTCTGTGTATCTAAGCTGTTTCCCAACCTGCATATAAATAATTTCCGAAACAACTGAAACAAATCTGAGCTAGAATCCCTTATATACCCACAGATGAACAGATGATCGGATACTTTCCAGACAGAAGTAAACAAATGTTCTTTCTGATGAATGAGTTACTCTGACCACTTTTGTACATAACTGTATAAGGTAAGAAGTATTATTCCGCTTATGTAAAAATACCTAGTTCACTCATATTTAAAATACCAACTATATTTCAAATAAATAAACGTGTTTTGTCTAAAGAAATCATCAGTATAGGGTTGTGCAGATTAAGTTATTGATTGAAATTATGAACCGATTGATGTTAGACCACCAACGAAAACCTGGAAGCACTGGACGGCAATTTCGTCCTATTACCGGACGACTCAGCAGTGTGCATCCACGATCCCGCCCACGGGATTCGAGCCCATGGCCTTCAGTCTCGCGCGCGAACGCTTAACCTACTAGACCACTGAGCCAGCATCCAACGGTGTTAATGTCTAACTTCAACCAATCCACGAGATTGCGCGACCATCTTCTATTGTACTGAGGTAGATACTTTTCTCTACCCGACACTGATTAGCTCCACTGGTCACAGCTTCTCACTGGAACTCCGAAAATTCCCTCATAAAGCTAATCAGTGGTGAGCGGGATCGTGGATGCGCACTGCTGAGGAGTCCCACAATAGGATGAAACGGCCGTCCAATGCTTCCAGGTTTTCAATTGTAGTCTAACATCAATCGGTTCATGATCTCAACCAATAAAAAAAAACTTACAAAACACCAACTAATCACATTTATTGAAATTATTTACCTTGAGCTGATGGGAAAAACTGTAAAAATATACCGAATACAGTACGTTTTATAGCATCTAAAATGAAGAAAAACAGATCGCTATTAAAACTATACAATTACTCTCATAAATTGTAAAGTAGATTTATTTAAAAGAAAAATTCGATTGAAAAATATATAATAAATAAGAACTAATTTAAGGATAAACATATCATTGCAGACCTTTTATGAAAATGTTGAACCAATATTCAACCAAAGCCTATTTTTATTCAACTTCAATTCAAAGATGACGATGTCACAGGATCAATCAATATGAGACTAAAAACTACATTGATAAGAACTTATCCTGCAGCAAAATTGATTGTCCTGTTCAAAACAACATGTTCTTTAACACAATCTAAATTCGATTGGTATCCTTTCATGTTATCACCAACTGTATTTACAAATTTACATGTATCTGCCAAAGCAGTTACAATGGTAGAGAACAGAAAGGAGAGCCTACATTCGACTCAAATAACATATTCCGAAAAGTTTAAGATCAAATGGACTAAAAGCATTCAGCAGTGCCATTGCAAGACATCTCCTTGACACAGGACATGAAGTCGATACGCTAAAGTCCTTCAAGGTGATTAACAAACAATCAAACTCCAACTTTTTGAAATTTGTCGAAGCAATAGCAATCAAACGACAGTAATAAATCTTTCTTTATCCTGATAACATTAACCCCCCCCCCTTTTTATTTGTTACGTCATCCATTATTTTAACTCTTTCTGAAGTTTAAATTACATCATTGTCATTTTCTCTAATTCATAACTGACTGATTTCAATTCATATCTTTCTTCATTATCATGAATCTATTTTCAGTTGCTTAATTACATAATCATTCAATGTTTGTTAACTCCATGACTTCTAATAACTATTTCAATGTTATGGAACTTTCCCTCTCAAACTTTATTTATTCGAAACAAAATTGTTATGACCTTATTAACTATTGAAATCTTCGCTACACCATGATACATTTATTCATCCTTCATCACCCTCTGATGTATAAGTATGTCATTATCTGTAATAACGTTGACTTTAAAATATTATAGAATGTATGCAATTGATGAGAATCTGACGAAACAAAATGAATTCATATTATTCTGCACCAATCTTCGTTTTTACTCTCCTTAAAATATTCAAGTTATCAAATTTCTTATCGACAAAAAGGTTAGAGGTACAAGAATTGACGGAAAACATAAGCGTGGCCATAAGTAAATCAAGAACGAACTGATATCAAGTAATAAGCTGAGTGAAATATAAACAAACCCATGATTAGATTTTTAAAAAGTGACTTATCAACCAAATGTACAACTATTTAAAGCCTTATACTTGCACAGCCAACTATGAGGTCACCACTGAGAACCTGGAAGCACTGGACACTACCACCATTGGATCCCGACTCATTGGTCTAGAGGTTAAGCATTCATGCATGGACCGAAAATCATGGGTTTGATATATATATATATATATATATATATATATATATATATATATATATATATACCTTTAGTAATAGGTTTTCGTTTGACCTATTAACTACTGTTATACGACTTACTATCCTTAATCTGTTGACATTTTGTTACTTACAGTCTACCCTACTCACAACCACATTTTGACTTGATCATAGTATTACTGTTGCTTTTCACTTTATAATATGATGTGGTCGCGTATATCTAATACATAAACTACATATGGTTGAAATATAATATTCGTATAGTGAAGGTTGATTACTGACTTCTGGACTTAAGGAGCAGAGTACAGAGAGAAGTTGCAAGGTCATGAACCAATAAGGAATTATCAATTGAATCAAAGTTACTGGTACTAGTTGGACATGTAATTGGTCAAATCAGGGATAATAAGCCATAGAAATAGGGATTCTGATTAATGGCTTCATCACATGATAATATGCATTTACCATAAGTTATAACAAATAGAGTTCATCAAATAAACGAAGTTATCTAATCATTTTTTTTTGTCAGTTTTACTTACTTGTCAAACGAGTAAAAAAGTTCATTTGATTAAAAGCTTGATTAAATAGTTTATTATGTAATTGTGATGTTAGATTAATTGTATTCATATTTTGTAATGATTTATTATTTTGTTTCATTTTACCAATAGGCGGTGATAATTTCATTGTAGCTGATGTTTTAGCACGAATATTTACAGTTGGATAAAAATCAGATTTATGTGGAGTTGGTGAATCGCTGTTTGCAACCTTAGAAGTATGACAATTAGTTGTTATAGAATGATCATTGATATGATTTATAGAACGATACATTATTGATCCAGCTAAAAAATATAAACAAAACTATATTATTCTAAAGAATTCAAATTAATTAATTTCAGGGAAGTTGTACTCACTTCCTTCTCGTGGCATTACTGTTGTTTACGAAATTAAAAGGATGAAAAACAAATGTCGGGTGCTTAAACCGGTTTGGTGAGAGTTGGATAACCTTGATTCCAAATCAATGTGTAAATAGGCTCGCAAATCCTTGGTAAACAAATGGGGTATGAACCCATTTTTGGTCACTGGCTATCATGAGACCTTATCACCGAACGTTACTGTACTACCCTGTGGATCGGACCTCTGGGTCAAAGGCTCGAGGAGTGGTACTCTAAAAAATTCACCTTCGGTTTGAGCACCCGGGAAGTATCCCAGCCCACACATAAAAATTGTGCAGTGTTAACAAATTTCGGTACCCCATTGTATCAATGTTTATGTGTCAAATAAATAAAATTTCATTAAGAAAGAGTGCCAATGGCTATAGAATAATATCTTGTATACAAATCACTATTATAATCACATTTATGCTAAGCAACACAGCTTTGGGTTGTATTATCCAGGATTTCTAACCAGATTAGGAATTTTGCGTCTCCAGACCTGCATAAATTAATCAGTCAGTGACTTAATCATGTGTTGGCATTAGTTCTGACGCCTTTAAATGTTCTTTTAATATACATTAACTTAGCTCCCAAAAAATCTGGCACAAATGAGCACCAAAATCAGAATACGCTACACAAAATAAAATTTTCACATGGACTAGGGTACTGCCAGAGAACCGAAACCGGAGCGGGTGTTATTTTTAGACGATCACTATCCATTGTCCAGTCATCAGGTCTATTCCACAAGGTAGTGAAACGTTTGGAGATGCTGCCCCGTAGTAGCCGGTGACCAAAAACAGGTTCAGACCATTTGTTCCCTAGGCATCATTGAGCCCATGTACGAAACTGGTTTAGAATCAGGGTTCTTACATTCTGTATCCACTAATCCAGTCTAAACACCGAACTTCCTCTTTTCATCCTCTCACTTTCTTAAACAACATTCCCCACCGAGTGAGGATGGTGAGTAGAAATTTCCTAGCAGAAACTGTAAGCACTAATCAAACAAAAACGTTTCGAAAGAAAGGAGGCGGACTCTTAAGAACACCAGCAATACCAGGGCATCAACTTAGTGAGAAGGAGAATTAACAGAATTAGTCATAGAAAGGAAGAGTAATAGTATAACAATATCATTGTTTACAAAGAATGGATGAGATAGAAGGATGAAAAGTGTGGAACAACATTGAACTAAAAGTTGTGAGTGGTTCTGGATCACAATGTCTCCTTGAACTCAATTACAGATTATGACTAACAAGAAATCTTCATCCCATGTACAGACAATTCTGTTGAATACGATAACAATATATCAGTCAGTCATACACTAAATGTGTGAGAAGCATATAAAGAAAATTAAACAGCTAACGTTGAAAACTGAATATTACAGTCCCTACAATGAGACGTAACCAATTGTTTAGAGACTTACCACTTTGAAACATTGAGTCATGAGACTGAAATTCGTTCATTATATCAACCCTTTCTGAAGTCTGATTATATCATTGTCATTTTTCTTTAATTTATAACTGACTGATTTCAATTTATATCTTTATTACCACTAATCTGTTTTCAGTTACTTCGTTACATAAACATCAAATGTTTGTTGACTCTATAAGTTTCAATCACCAGTTCAGTGCTGTGGAATTTTCCCCTTCAAACTTTATTTATTGATCCGAAACAAACAATTTTCATTGGTATTATTCTGCACCCATCTTTGGTTTTTCTCTCTTTAAGAAATTCGTTGGCAAAGCAATGACCGCATCCTTACAATTTAAGAAAATATGGAACTCAAAACAACTTTCAACCAATATCAAAGTCATGATCTTCAATACGAACGTCAAGACAGTTCTACGGTATGGAGCTGAAACTTGAAGAACTTCCACAACCATCATCAAGAAGGTACAAGTATTTATAAATAGTTGTCTACGCAACATATACTCAAAATCCATTGGCCGGATACAATCAGCAGCAGCCTTCTGTAGGAGAGAACAAACCAGCTTCCAGATGAACAGGAAATTAGGGAAAGACGATGGAAATGGATAAGACACGCATTACGCAAATCATCAAACTGCATCACGAGACAAGCTCTACCATGGAATCCCGAAGGGAAGAGGAAAAGAGGAAGGCCAAAGAACACATTACGTCGAGAAACAGAAGCAGATATGAAAAGGATGAATAACAACTGGAAAGAGCTAGAAAGAATTGCCCAGGACAGGGTTGGATGGAGAGTGCTGGTGGGCGGCCTATGCTCCTCCACGAGGAGCAACAGGCGTAAGTAAGTAAGTAATTAAGATCTTTACAACGTAATAATATTATCACTCGTCACAAACACATACTATTGTGGCTTAAACACTTAATAAATTTATGAGATATTACGATGCAATAATACACTTCATTTTCTTGAGTATATCATGAAAACTTCGTTTAAACCCGCTACTCGTGCACTGCAGAGTAACACTATAAAGATGAGGCCTTCAACATTCCAGTGCGAATAACCACTGATCTTGTACACTTGTTGTGATTCTATGCTTAACGATACGATATTTTAACACCATCTACATGTTGTTTACAAGTAAACTATTCCATGAAACAACACTGCATGACACGATATTGAGAAACTTTAGCAAAAATGAGTAAGAGTAGTATTGAGGAATGCTGTGAAAGTCTACAGAGAATATTTAAACAGAATAAACCATCTCACTCTTATATAAAAGCTAAAAATGTTGTCTGTGTTTTCCTGGCAAAAGTAGAAGATATGATTACGAAATATAGTCTAGTATTGTAAGCGACAAACTTGGAACATCAGACGATAACTATCGTATTACTGCTGAAGAAACGAATGGGCTGATTTAAGCTTAACAAATAAGCCAGACTGAACCTAGAATGTATTATTTGACTCAATTTTCAAATATTACAACCCTTTCACCAATACAGAATAGAATTATCTTTATCATTATCAGTTTGTTAATAACAGGACGAAATAGAAGCAGTACACAAATTAACCTTTTTTGTACCTACAATATAATTCATGACAATGATATTTTGCTTCAGCTTAATTTAAGATGAAATGATACATAAAAATAAACTATACTACTAATATCGTGTGGGATGTTTGGGCGTCCGGGCAGTATTACAGCCCACATACAAATTTAATGACTTGTGTGGCGTATATATATTTGGTGTCTTCTTGTAATAAATTTTGTCTTTAAATAAAATAAATCGTAGAAAATTATCTCTTAGACAGTCAATCAACCAGAAACATTATAGAACCTAGCACAAATCCATATCGGTCCAAGTCACCATACCAACACAAAAAGATGACATTATCAAGACAAATACGAGAAAGTATTAAAGGTATTAACATAACCAATGATGGTAGAAAAAAAACTAAACATAAACAACATGATTCAAGAAGAATAGAGTCGTAAAACAAAAAAGTATCAGACATTTTTAAATCTGAAGATCTAACGGAAAACAGAGACTTAATGCATCTGTACCATTTCACCCGACTCGAATGTTTTGCAACTCAACACAAGACGCTTCTTTAGAGGAAAAATACACAACCATTATTGTTATTGTCCTAGAAAACAAAGACCGACAACACTCACCTGGACAAAATGGCTTATGAAGTACCTTGATAGGATCTATTTTCCCACAAAATTTGTTTTTATAATTATCATTGTGATTTCCGATATTTTTTGCAGTGGTTGTTCGTCCCGAATGTTTCTTACTTCGATCCCTCAATAATTTATGATGATGATAATGATGATCAGATGTGGTATCATCCGTGTGGGATACAGTCGAGGAATACACAGATGAATCACTGTTAATAGAATCAGTATTAGACAACTTAATAACAACGTCTTCATGATCATGATCGTCATTCTGATTGTTAGGATAATCTTCACTGGTCAGATCTAAATTAGTTGGTTTTAGTTCGGGATCATATGTACTGACATTGACTATGTGGTGATTGTTGTCTTCCGTTATCTCTATAGTATCATACATACCATCATTACTACTACTAGTGTTCAATGAAGTTTGATCATCTTTAGGCTCATTTGCTGTGTATATAAAACAGGAGAAAGAGAATAAGAAAATAGAATAAATAATAATGAACATTTTCCAATGATTATTTATTATAACAGTTTGTATGTGTGTATGTATTTTTCGTATTCCCGTTATTCTAAAGTGAGTTTAATCAATCTCTGTTAACAGTATATAAGCACATTCTTTTAACAGACAACTTATTGTCTTAGTTTAGATGATTTATGAATACTTCATGAAAGACTCAACATTTATTGACTTATCAGTGTACGGGCACACAACAGACTAACATTTGTTTTAAATTAAGTATCAGTACAAATGAACAGCTCTTTTTGTAAATGATATGGTTTTTAAGATATAATTTTTAGAGTATAGTGTTGGGCAATCAATGACAGTCATATTACATAATATTGAGGAATAACTATGGTCAAAGGTTAGGATTGACATTTAGTTCATATACATGCTAATCCCTAATCCTAGACACAAAATAACTACAATTCTAAGCCTAAATCCTAATTCTAAAATTAATATTAACCCTGACAAACATAACAGCGAAATATCCTTCCATCTCGTGTCTCTGTGCAATTATACATCGTCATTTTCCTCTCTTATTCACATATGAGTGTACCACTTTCGTAACCAAACGTTTTGTAAGTAACTGATGTTTTATTGTATGAAATTGGTCATTGTACGACCAACAATCAAAATCCTGGCTTGATAAATGTCACCCTAGGTTGATATGAGTGCCACGATATTAAATTCACTCGCAATCCTAACTGGTTCGATAGTATACTTAGAATTAACTGGAATAACTGCTGCATATGTGAAAATGAACAGGTATTATTAATTAAAAAAGCAATAATGTCAAACTACATACTTGCGTTGTCATCTTTAGCAACAATATCATTTTCTTGATTTTCCAAATGTTGATTTTTATCCTTAGTCGGAGTAATCATTGAACCATGATTTGAAGTAGATTCTGGCACATTCATTAATCTAACATCAACATCATCAACATCGTCATCATCATCTAGATCATCGGAACCCAAACCGAATATTCTAATCATAGTTAAGGGACAATAATGTTCTGAACCATAATGTTCAATCAATTCGAACTGTATCAAAAAAAGAGGTAAACATTTTGGACCAATAGAAAGACGTAATATTTCTCAATGCAATACCTTATCATAAAAAAAACTACTATGCGGGCTTGAAACTCAACATAATAATCGTGTAACTCACAAATTATAGCTTTATGTACTAGGCTTTCAACCATATTCAACCACGGAAGGGGTAGTCATATCCAGCAGTTTAAAAAGAAGTCTAATTAGTAAATCGATAACTTGGTGCAGACTACTGTATTTAGTTTTAAGCCAAACTCGAAATGTGAGGGTTAGTGATATTATCTAGTTGATCAAACTGAAGTGGGTGGAGCGGGGTTCGAACTTGATACCTAGTGGCTGAAAACTAGACGCTTTAGCCACTGAATCACCGTTCCACTGACGTAATTGAAGTGGAGTTCCAACTTGAAGGCCATGTGATTTAGCTAATAAACTATTATCAGAAGGGGTTTGTGGAGATTTTAGAAAATTCATTGATTGAAATCATGAATCAATTGAAGCTAGACCACTATGTTAAGATACTTTACACAATACATTCAGCTGGACTGTAGATTAGATAAAGCTTTTTAAAAAAAGATGTTGACCATTTCGTCCTATATATAGTTCCTTCCATAGAAAAAAGCCTCAAATTCGTATTCAATTCTATTTCAATAAAAACGATAAACTTTATTGTTTGTTCTGTAAACATAAGTTTCAACATCTGTCCTCACTTTCATCACTAATATTGTGTTCATGACATACATAGTGCATAATCTGTATAAGCCATCACTACTGTTTTTTTCTCAAGAGGATACATCATTATTCATAAGCAAAATCACGTGATAAACACTATATATATATATGGTCGAAGCTGTTATCAGGTGAGAAACATAACCCTTTATAACTATTAGTGCCATGAAAAAAAATTAATGGTTCGTACTTTTTTCAAATTCAGTCAGCTGAAAAGATAGTGGTGATTATCATCTAATTCCATTGCTTAACGACAATTTATTGTTTGTAAGTAAGCCATGTGCACTTTGAAGCCATAGAAATTCAAATCAATTTTATAAGGATGAAGAAGAGCTGGTGTATCTATGTTAAATGTTTATTGGTTCGTCTTGAAAATAGTTGGAAGGTTTATGCATGTGAGGACCTGTTTGGGTCCTGGTGTTGACAAACGAGATTAATCTATGTGCAGTGAAATCTGTAGAGACCTATGCACTCAGAGCAATCTTGTTATATGCTTGTTAAACCTAATCCCTTCACAATAACAATTCTTGGTAACCCTATGTTTAATCATTAATATCTCTGAAGAATTCTGCACACTTGCTAGTCCAATATAACTCCCTAGATGAAATCCCAAAGTCTACGCAACTTAGTGTCTCAATACTTTATCCAACATTACTTAGAATAAAAGACAATGAAGATCATATACTTCTTCATAAAATTAGGACCAACCTTGAATGAATGAAATCTCTCTTAATCTTTTCATTCGAACTATCGTCGAACTGTATACACCTCCACAACTTATCTTAGTAAATATATGAAGCAAAAGGTAGGGAAGTCACACTACAGCAAGCTGGTATGAGTTTCCATTAACTTCGAACAAAAATTTATCTCTGTAAGTATTTTAAACTCTATTTCGACTTTGAAACATTACGAATTGTAAGTAAAAATGAATGAGAACCTAACGACGTGCAAATGTATTTATTGTTCTTAATCTTTAAACGAAAATCTAGTCAAATATAACTATAAATAGTATCTCTTTTCAACTGGACGACTAACGACTATAATTCAAATACAATTAACTTACTTTAACATATTTGATCATTTTTCCACTATAAACACTGAAAGACTGTATTCCCTTAACATCTCGAGCGGTGAATGTACCAATCAATTCCCAGGACTTTGCTGGATATCTACAATTGTTTTGAAAGAGAATTCCTATTAGTTTTAAAACAACAGAGATTTTATTTCGTAGAAAGGCTAAGATGAAATTCCATTATCAGCGACACCTGTCTCATATAATTAGCACATGCTTTTTCCAAAGTATCAGCTGATGTCACATTGAAAAACAATGAAAGACTCACAATAGAACCATCCAGTATCATAAATAATAATTCTAGTCAATCATTTACATGACCGATACTGGTTTGCACTATTCATTATCTATAAAAGTAATTCCTATTAATTCTAGTAAACAAAAACTAACAAATTATACATATTAATAGTTGAATTTCTAAAAAATACCTTACCGATCGTTAGCATAAACTCGAAACGATTTCAACCGTGATGAGAATAGTTCAAAATTTGCCAGCTCTATAGTCCGTAGATGAACTGGTTGGCATACTTCTAGAATTAACCTATTAAAATTATAAATTGTAATATACCTTATTATTATTTCAAAACAGGCAAAACATCAACTAATACCTTAAAATATGTAGACACTGAATTGAGCTATCTCGTGCATACGTCCTGACAACACCTCGAATAAACGTTTAATAAGATGCATTTGAACTGATAAATGGCATCATTCTTTTAAGTTATATAGAAAGCCTTTGTAGAGTGAGCGGCTAATTGAATTGCTTAGCCATCAATAATAGATTTTCTGGATAGCCTACTTTATATTTCAAAAATCCTACATTTACATCAATCAATAGTTAATGGCTAATTCTGTATCGTTTAATCTGTGATAGTAATTGAATTCTACCGATCGACAGTATATTTAGACCAAGCTTCCAAGGCTACTTTTATTCACAGGTAAGACTTATTTGTAGCATTGGAGTTACTAATGCTCCTAGAAGATTCTAATATTAATCGATTAACGAAACAGCTGACACATTCCGATCAGACAATCAACCAATCAATCAAATGCAGACCTATGTACCTAGCTTTTAGTAACATTTTATAAAAATGTTAGCGTAATCTTGAGTGGTGTCTAATTAGGATACTGATAAACGAGCTTCCTATTCGCGAGCCCAACCGGCTACTTAATTGGGAAGAATAAAAGTTAAGAAAAAGTATTTTATTGGCCAACTAAACCGAGAAGTAACTGCATACTCACATATCCATATATATAAATATATCTATATATATCTCTTAGAAATTTAAGCCACATTTTTTCGTCGATGGAGTATTTCATTCCATAAAAAAGGACACGACGCAATGGCACTTCGCATGGACTTTATTTATTTTAACACATAGATATTGGGACAAGAAGGCACCAGATAAATATGCGCCACGCAGATCTCACTTGACTTGTGTGAGGGTCGTGATACTGCCCGGATGCCCAAACCGAAGCAGGTGATTTTCTTAGGAAGCCACACCTAGAGCCTTCGACATGAAGGTCTGATCCACAAAGCAGTGGAGCAACATAAGGAGATGTAGTCCCATGGTAACCGGTGACCAACGATTAGTTCATACGCTATTTATTCATTCAGGGTACTGGAGACCATGTGCACCATTGGTTTGGAATCAGGGTTTTTCAACTCCCCTAGGTGGACCCTCCATATCCACTAACCCGGTTAAAGTGCCGGACGTCCGCTTTTCGTCCTCTCAATTTCGTAAACAACAGTAATGCCACGAGAAGGCAGTGAGTAGGACTTCCCTGGCAGTGGTTGTATGCACGTGGTCATGTGAGAGCATTTCGAGAGGGAGAGCGGGCTCTCCCCACTCTTGGCCGTACCAGAGCATTAGGGGGCCGCATGGGCTTATTATTAGACCATTATCTAATCGGCTTCAAATATCAGCTAGTGACGATACACACTCTCCAAACCTAAGTAAGTGAACCAGCCAGTGGTCTACTGGTTGGAAGTGGGCCACTACCCAATAAGTCGCTATTGCTTTACTTCTATTTACAAATTTCAAGTGTTATACATTTGAATCCAATATCATTTACTTTGTGAAACGCCATTCAAAAAACTCTGACATGCTACAATTTTATGAACCAAAACTGCTATTCTATGAAAAAATAACAATAAATAATTTAACGAAAATCACAAAAACGATGTCTGTTACGCTTAACAATAATTCAAAACGGATACATGAAGAGACTTCACAAATTATAGTATACAAGAATATATACATATTTAATATATTACCATTTTTCTTCGCTACACGGAACATTCATATATTCATCATTGTTTTCATTGAGTACAGCCTCAGGGTTTTTTATCGCTCTACTGAATCCTAACATCTTTGCACCACATGCTACAGAAGCGACATTTCTCCGAAGAGTTAAGTCAATTTTGCTTGGTGTATGAACAGCATCATTGTTAGTTATTGTTGTTGCTGCGGTGGTGGTTGTGGTGGTGGTAATTACAGGTTGTGAAGTAACATGAGAACTTGGTTTGGAATTCGTTTCTGAATTAGACGTCACAACAGAATTCACTTGCAAAGACTGATGCTGTTCACTAACAGAATCTTTTTGGATATTATCGGAAAACGAACTATCATCTGTGAAAACACTCTTTTCTGATACATCTTGAATTATTTGATTTTTTGAAGATTTAACCGATGGATTAACATCATTATGTGTTTGCAGTATTTTTTCGGATCCCTGAGGAATTTGTGAAGCCTTAATTTTTTGTTTAATATTGACATCATAGTCAGAATCGATCACACCAGCATTTCCGACAACATCACAATCTAAATCGAAAAAATTATCAGGAACAAAGCATAAGTAAAGGTACTTCTTAACAAATAAATGATCGGAATCGCATATAGGTAGTTTTAGTACTATTTCACCCTAACTACTGTTGATATTAGCCTCAAAAATATGTAAATAATGAATGTAGCTCACTCACCAAACGCCTGCAGCCAGACTATTTATGTGAGCATTTATACTATCTAACCGTTCAAAAATTAGATACAGAAAAGTTTGAAACTGCAACCCAATAGCTGGAAATCAGGTACTTTAACCAACAAGCTACTGACATTATTATATAAAGCCGACCATTTTCATAATTATTGTTTCTAACGTAGTTCCTATGGCACTTACACTTTTACTATTACTTTCAACAAACTGGAAAACTATTAGACTGGAGATTGTATGGATCGATGAATAGAATCTCAACTGACATTTAACGACAATGTGGTTAAATAATAATGTCTCATGAAACTAAATTACTAACGCCAGCCTACAAATGAACAGATATCAGAAAACAAGACAGCTGGTAGCATTACGGGTTTCTTTCAATAGCGAAAGAATATGCTTACATACAATATATTATTCTCCAAAACACACGATTAGAACTCATTTGAAATACAGGTGACTGGAATATATGAACTTTGTAGGTCACTAGTATGATAAATTAAATTTTAACTACCGAACTTAATTCGTATCACATATCAATGACTCAATTAACTTATGTCGGCTGCCAAATGCCCTGATACGATTATGTGAAGAGAGTCCGTTCTCCTTCAAATGCTTTCACATGGCCACGCGTATACAGCCACCGTAACAGAAGTCCCACTCATTGCCTTATTATGATGAGTGCTTACGAAATTGAGAGAACGAAAAGCGAATGTCTAACGCTTAAACCGGGTTGGTGGACAGGCAGCACCTACCTTAATGTTAAAGACGTTACCACTGAACTGGCCAGATTGTGACAAGTCTCCTTAAGACTGAGATTCCCATAGATTGCCTCCTTGCTTGTGATCGATTTCATGACTATTCAGTTACCAACCGGTGATCAAGCAGTGTAAAATGTTTAGAATTAAAATCATACGGCATGAAGGTTTCTCACGGCTTGATCGCTATTTCGTTTTCCAGTTATCAAAAACATACCTAATATGCAACTAATATAATAATAAGGATACAGCCTCTCGAGATATGGCAGATATCAGAATTCGGTAATTAACAAACAAAACTGAAACACACGAACCTTGCCCTTTACGTGATTGTGACCTTTCTGAAACCATTGCATGGAATTCATTGAAAGTCGGGATTTCATGTGTGTTAATACCTTCTGCAGCAACTGAATCCAATGAAGGCAGTTCTTCTAGAATAGACTCCTGAACATCTTTGTGGTCAAGTCCAGCTGATTCCTGATTTGTCCCAGGAGGGATTATGGATTCACTTGATGCGTGACCTGCCCCTGGAGATTCTTGATTCTCTGATGAATCCAGTGACTCAGGAGAAGCTTTGCGGCTGAGCATCACATTATTCTCCTGGTCTACCGAAGTGCTATGTGTCTGAGTAAGACCGATTACCCAAAGATTAGTAAAAAATTAATTGCATCAAAGTAGTTGCAAGTAATAGGTAAGATATGGTAAAAAATCACCCTGGGAAATTTATCTATGCGGAGTTAGCGAAATAAAGGTATTCAGTCAATTTTTTAATTATGATGATCGTGATATTAACAAGGAAGTTAAGAAAAATCCGTTTTTAATTTCTACACAAGCTTTTTCTTAAATCAGATTGATTGAGTTTCCACCAGATATGACTCATATTGTGTACAGATGACAACGATCATAGATTTTAGTTTGTTTATCCCGAGTCGAAAGATCGTGTATCAAAAGAACCACAACACATCCCTAGATCTGCATACTCAAACTTATAATTTATGAAATGTTCTGAAGACATGTTACCTAAACATGACTTGGTGCTCTCCAAGATAACATATACTATGTTCTGGAACTTTTCCAACTAGCAACTACATCATCCAATCATTTGGAATAAAGTATTACTCTGAACTCACCTCCGAATTCCGAACAGACTGAGCATCCTTGTCACCAAAACTATAATCACCCATAAAGTCAAGATTAAAAATAAAACCTACTTTACATTATCATTTATGTCATGATATTTTGATCTATCAACAAAATATGAAAATATTATAAAGCCTACTTACTGGTCACCAACAAATGTTTCAACATTATTCAACTCATTGGCATCTCCTTCTGAAAGTTTTACAACTAAGCATTGGGAATATATAAGAAGAAAACTTTTAAAGGGTCACTAGATAAACAATTTAGTTGACATACAACAAAAATGATGTGAATCCCATTAGTGTCCCCGTTTATTTGAATTGTTCATGGTCATCTTTAAAGAAAGTTAAAACGACAAGGTTCAAATGGTTCAAATGGTCGTCAACGGGATAGAAGAAGCTTTCGATTAACGGGCTTCCGTGTCTTGTAACAATGGATCACCAATACCTTCATGCAGGAATCTAGGTATATTAATGATAAAAAAAGAAAAAGAAATTGGTAAATCATAGTAAGATACTATCCTTAGTCCTTAAGAATAGGCCAAGTTTCTTCTTAAAGGACTCTTGGGAAGTCGCTTGGACTAGCTCATTCGGCAGCGAATTCCAGCATTTTACAACTCTTAAGGAGTAGATGTTGTGTCTACAGTCCGTTCTGCTGTGTTATGTCTCCAGTTTCTGGGTGTCACCCCTTAGGTTTGTGTTGGAGCTAAACTTAAGTAGGTGTTTAAGGGGATGTTCAGAGGTGTTAAGGATACTGGAAGCCATTAGAAGGTCACCTCTAGGACGCCTATGCTCTAATGGGTAAAGGTTTAGTGATTGGAGGCGCTCTTCATAGGGCTTGAATTTGAGTTCCCGAACTGATTTCGTGACTCGCCTTTGGATACGCTCCGGAGTGTCCTTATCCTTTTGGAGTGAGGGAAGAAATACCATGTTTCCGTACTCTAAATTGGGACAAAAACACTGTTGAAGATTATGTGGAAAGTTCTTTCGTCAAACTGGCCAAAAATGCTCTTCAATGTTATCAGTGCAGGGTTTGCTCGAAAGGCATTTTTGTCACAGCGCGCGACTTCAAATCGTATGGTACCAGCACTTCTAAATCTTTTTCAACTTTGGATACTTCTAGAGAGGAGTTTCCTAAATTGCAACCGTAGTCTGCAACATGTCTCAGATGGGCTACTTAACACTTTGAAGTGCTAAAGTTTAGTCCCTTGTCATCTGCCCAACTTTGAAATCGAGTCAGATCCTCCTGAAGTGTCAGTGTGTCCTCTTGGTTGGTCATCTTTCCCCAAAGTATCACATCATCAGCAAAAAGTAAAAAATCTAATGATACTTGGTATGGAAGTTCGTTAATATGAATCAAGAAAAGAGGTCCTAGTACTGAACCCTGGAGGACCCCACTGGGACCTTCCATAGCCTGAGTTAAAGTGAGGTTAACCCTGATCTTGAAATGTCGATATTTAGATATGAGGTAGGCCAACCATTTAAAGTTGATTCGACACCCAAATGTTTGAGCTTGTTGATAAGACATATATGGTTGACCCTATCAAAAGCTTTTGATAAGTCAAGGTAAACGACGTCAACCCTCCCCTTGCAATCAAGGATGGTTGTCCATCTGTCCATCAAAGTGAGCAGGTTGATTATACAAGAGAGACCATTCCTGATACCACGTCGTTGGGGTGAAAAGAAATTTAATTTAATACATAGTCGTGTATATCGTCGCACATCAAGGACTCCATAATTTTCGAAGGTATACGGAAAAGAGCTGCCGGTTGGTAGCTTGAAGTTTCGCTGCGTCGACGTCCTTTGAAGATTGGTGTGATGAGGGCCATCTTCCGAATTTCCGGTAATATGCCTCGTCTTAGCGAATGTGAGAACATCTCGCTAAGCGATGTTGCCAGGATTGAAGATGCTTCCCTCAGTATAGCAGAATGAACCATATCTGGACCAGGAGAAGTTTCCTTTTATAGGTGCTGCAGTTTCCGGTAGCTTTCATCAATATAGTTAATGTAGGTTGGTTGAAATGTCCGAGAGTACTGTTCAGCTAGAAGGTTAGCGGCGTCACCGTCACCATTAATCGGCCCATCAGGACCTAACGGTTGGGGAACTCCAGTTTTGTCTTGTTGAAATGAGGCTGCATAACGGAATAAGTTTTTCAGATTGGAGTTAAGCTTTATCTGGTACTGAAGTCTGTCCTTTCTTATTGCCTTCGTGCATATGTTCCTGATATGCTTGTATTGCCTGTACGCACCGTTGTTATCAGTTCGTTTGTATTCTCCCCAACAGTGTCTTTTGCGGATTAACAAACGAAGAGTGGGAGAATGGGATGTCTTAGCTCAGTTTTCCTGGTAAAACTAAAGGCTAGGACGGCGTGATGGCATCTCCCTAAGGGAGCCAGGATTAAGAGGTTATCAATTAGGGATTCTTCGTTTGTACGTACACGGTGTGTGACTGTTCGTCTAACAAGTTGTCGACTTTTCGAATAATTCGGATCCTCAATGGGGTTGAATAACCGAGCTTCAGTAGAGTTTTCACCTCCAATATAAGTATGATTCGTGAAATTGACTTTAAGAAGATTGAAGTTCCCTAGAATCGAGATACGAGTGAATCCTAGATGAATAGGGAGCTATAATCCTTCCAGCATACGAGTGTCGTACTCGATGTCAGCAATGGGCTTCCTGTAGATGACTCCAACTTAGCACCTCGAGGTGGAAGGCAATCTTACTGAGCACCATACGGATTCATCAAGGATGATAAACTCTCGGTTGTGCACTTGATGTACCTCCATGCAGGATAGTAAGTATAAGGCTACTCCATCTTCAATTCCTATATTTCTGACATTGCAAAACAAATACATCCCGATTATTGCTAGCTCCCGGTTCGTAAACTGAGAAAATATCCAAGTTTTAGATATTCCTATCAGATGAGGATTGTTAGCATTACTGTGTTCACGTAGCTCATCCATTTTATTCGATAAACTCGCGGCGTTCATGTGGAAGTAGATTATGCCTACAATTTGAAACGCGTGACGTTCCACGTCTTGTTTGTCTTTATGAGTCCTATGTGGGTGTGTTATAACTTGTGACCTGTGTGCCCTGTTAATGTATGACGTAACGATACCGCTAATTAGAGGACAGTGAATTACCAACCGGACCAACGACGCATAAAACACGTGCGAGAAGTCTAGAGTCCTGATTGGGACCTAACAGGGTGAACATGTGGCCTACCTACACAAAGTTTTCAGTGTCGGTAGCCCTTGTCCTTCCCACGTTCTTTTATTATTAAGACGGTCCACAAGTGGAATGGTCAGCTCCAACTTCCCTTTGTGCTTGATACTGGCGTCATGTGGCCTATCCGGATGCATATGGATTCCAGGTCTGCTGGCACGAGATGCCTCCAGTGTTTCATCCGCGATATGAGAGAATGGGAAGGTTATCTTTATCAGCCACGGTTTAGAATCTTCACCCTTCTTGGCAAGTCTCATCACTTGTTGAGTCAATATATTTTTGAGCTTTAAAGAGTTCTTGGTGAATTTCCATTCCCTAATATCAGAGTTTGTGTTGTCAGGGTCCGTGTTTTCCGGCACACCTTGCACAATGACATTTCTTCCACAGGACAACTCGCGAGATTCCTTAGGGATGTTCCGGACGATATTGAGCTCAGAATACGGTGTGTCAAGCAGTATTCTTACATTCCCATCTGATTTCAGTAAGTGACTAGATAGTTGGATAACGTCTGTAGAGTTAGCGAATGTTACACGAAATAGCTTTGGGTGATTTGGATGCCCAGAGTAAAATTACACATACGAGATTCAAGTTAGAAAAAAGTAACGAAGACTTAATTGATTCCATTGAGAAAAGAATCACCAAAGTACTTAGAGACCTACTAGAGAAAATGATCGATAATTGTACTTACAATAACCTACGACCTCATGGGTCTCATTTGCTACACTTGTATTATTTTCCTGAAAATACATAACCAAGATAATCCCATTTGACTTATTCTGTCAATAGTCAGTTCACCACAGCACAAAGTTGCACGATGGCTGGCAGATAAATTAGAACCAATTCGTCAACGATTAGCCTCCTATACACTAAAGGATTCATTTGTATTTGCTGACAGCAGGAATCAAAAATATTGCTGGTAAGTTTATGGTTTCTTTTGATGTGACATCATTTTTTACAAAAATAACACTACTTGAAACCATAGACATAATTTGTCAGCATCATGACATCCTACCTCTACCAGCAATAGAATTTAAACGACTGATACTCATGTGTACAAAAGATGTTCAGTTCCAGTTCAACAATACTATATAACGACAAACCGATGGTGTAGCAATGAGAAGTCCGTTAGGCTCTGTCCTAGCAGACATTTTCATGGTGAACCTCGAAAGGACCAAGCTCAAGCGAGCGACTGATGAAATGACTTATTATTCGAGGTATGTTGATGATACCTTCATCGTATGTAATAATCAACAACATGCAACAAATCTGCTTAAATGTATCAATGAAGCTCATCCAAATATCCATTTCACTATGGAACATGAAAAGGAAAACAAGTTCCATTTTCTCGATATCGCGATGAAACGAGGAAAGGATGGTACAGTTCAACGTTCAGTTTATAAGAAAGGCACATGGGATGAGATTTATCTCAGTTTCAACAGCTTTTGTACAATCAATTGTATAAAGGCACTTGCCAAAACATTGTTTCACAGAACAGAAAGAATGTGTACTGCCGATACACTAGAAGAGGAAGTTATGAGTGTTAAAAAGTGTTTAAGGAATAACGGATACCCACTGAAATTTATTGAGAAATATGGCAAACGTGAAGATAAAATACCCTAAGAAATTACAGCAAATAAGAAGCCTATTTAAAGCCAGATCTTTGTATACAAAAAGAAACAGTGACAAATCTTTCTTTGCCTTGGTAGCATTACCCCCCCCCCTTTTATGTATTACGTCATTCCAACTCTTTCTGAATTTTATAATTGCATCATTCATAACTGACCAATTTCAATTCATATCTCTCTTTATTACCATTATTCTATTTTAAGTTATTTCATTGCCTAATAATCTAATGTGTTTTAATTTCATGATTTCTAATCACTATTTCAATGTTCTGGAACCTTCCATCTCAAACTCTGTATATTCGGAACAAGAAGAAATTTATGGCCTCATTAACTCTAACGAAATCTTTGCTACATCATGTTACATATATCCATCCTTCATCACCCTCTGGTGAATAAACGTGTCAATATCTACAATAACGTCGAATTTAAAATATTTTAGGTTGTAGGCAGCTGATGAGAACCTAACGAAATAAAACGAATTCTTATTATTCCGCACCAACCTTTGTTCTTGCTCTCTTTAAAAT